GGGGAGAATTGACCAGGAGCTCACAAACCAGCTAGCCTGAAGTCTACTACTGGGTAGGAAGAATAACAGGAGAGGCTGTCCCTGGACAAGGTGGAGGAAAGAGAGCTGGCTACCGAAGGTTGTCCACTGACGTCTATGTACGAGCCATGCCAAGCATGTACCTGCACGCATACACACATGATACATACAATAATAATAAATAGAACATAAATACAAATATAATATCACATATGTGTACTGTGTTATCAAAATAAGACAAGTACCCTTTTCTTTTTTTTTTTTTTTTTTTTTTTTTTTTGTTTTTTTGAGACACAGTCTCTCTGTAGCCCCACCTGTCCTGGAACTGACCGTGTTGACAAGGCTAGCCTTGAACTCACAGAGATCCGCCTGCCTCTGCCTCCTGAGTGCTGGGATTAAAGGTGTGTGCCACCATGCTTGGCAAGTACTCATATTTTAAAATTCAAAAAAAAATTGATTTTTTTAGCTGGGCGCGGTGGTGCAGGCACATCTCTGTGAGTTCAATGACAGCCTGGTTTGCACAGTGAGCTCCAGGACAGCTGGGACTACAGGAAGGCCCTGCTTCAAGAAGACAAAAAAAAAAAATTTGATTTTTTTAAAATGTGTGTGTTTTGTCTACACTGTATGTGTACCGGTGTAGTAATACCCACAGAAGTCAGAAGAGGGCACCTGATTCCCTGGAACTGGAATTATGGACAGTCGTTAGCTGCCATGAGGGTCCTGGGAATTGAACCTGGGTCCTCTGCAAGACCAGCCAGTGCTTTCAACTGCTGAACCATCTCTCCAGCCCTGACAAGTACCTACTTTAAGTATCTTACCATAATTTTATCACATTTATTAATATCTCTAATTATTTTACTGTTAAACCATTATTTTCATTTATGTTTGTTTTTTGAGGTAAGGTGTTATGTAGTCCAGGCTGACCTTGAACTTGCTATGTAGCTAAGGCTGGCTTTGAACTGCTGATCCTCCTGCCTCTACCTCCCAAGTGCTGGGATGACAGATGTGTGTCACCATGTCTAGCTTTGATGGTGGTTTCAATTGGATTACACTGTGATTTCTGTGGCTTAGATTTCCCATTAACTTTGTATTCCTGGACTCCTGCTACTGTTTTATTGCTTTTAGTACTTTGTTGAAAGTTCTATCATAATTTCTGTCATCCCTTCTTCCATCCAGAGACACAGCTTGTTTTCATTTACTTATTGTTTACTATACAATCCTGTGCATATCCCCTGGTACAAACACTCTCAAAGATTCACCCAAGAGCAATTATTGCACCAGAAGCTTCTTCATTATTCCAAAATGGTTGTCAATTTCCTCTCATTTTTTTTCTCACTCATAGAGTTCTAGTCAATCTATACCCTCATTAATAATTGACATTTTCAACTTTTATAACTTTTGATTATTTGGTGGTTGACAAATGATATCACTTTATGATTTCATTTTGGGTTTCACTGATTAATAAGCGGGCTCAGCACATTTTCTAGGTTTTTGTTGGCCATCAGTATTTTCTCTTCCAGAAAGGTAACTATGAAAGTTCTTTGTCATTTTTTTTTTGATTTTTTTTTTTATTTTTGGTCTTTTTGGAACAGGGTCTCCCTGTAGCCCCAGCTGGCCTGGAACTCACAGAGATCTGCCTGCCTCTGCCTCCCCAGTTCTGGGACTACAGGTGTGTGCCACCACACCTGGCCTAATTTTGATTTTTTAAAATATTTTATTTATTATTTTTATTTTATGTGTATGAGTGTATTACCTGCATGTAAGTAAGTGCACCCGTGTTGTGCAATGCCTCGGAGGTCAGAAGAGGGCTTCAGATTCTTCTGGAACTGGAGTTAAGAACAGTTCGTAGCCACCATGTGGGTGCTGGGAATCGAACCTGGGTCCTCTGCAAGAGCATTCAGTGATCTTAACTGCTGAGCCATCTCTCCAGCCTCTATTTTGATTTTTTAATTTTATGTGTATGAGTGTTTTGCTTGCATATATGTAAGTGCACCTATGTCATGCAATACCCACAGAGGCCAGAAGAGGGCATCAGATCCCCTGGAACTGGAGTTATAGAAAGTTGTGAGCTGCCATGTGGGTGCTGGGAACTGAAACTGGGTCCTCTACAAGAGCAAACAGTGCTCTGAACCTCTACACCATCTCTTCTCTACTATTTGAACAAAGGGGTTTGAGATATTTGTCTTTTCGAGACAGGGTATCCCTGTAGCCCCAGGCTGGAGCTCACTATGTAGACCACGCTGGCCTCAATCTCACAGAGATCTGCCTTCCTCTGCTTCCCAAGTGCTGGGATTAAGGCATGCACCACCACACCCGGCTGAGATTTTCATTTTTAATATGTGTGTCTGTGCACATGGAGGTCAAAAGAGGGCGTCAGAGTTTTTGGAGCTGGAGTTACAGGATCTTGTTAAGCCTGCCTGGTATGGGTGCCCTTAAACACTGAGCTATCTCTCCTGCTCTTGATTTGATTTTTAAGCACTTGCCCTGCAAACGTGAGGACCTGAGTTTGGATCCCCAGCACCCATGGCAGAGTCAGGCGCAACCCCTCTCATCTGTAGTCCTAGTGCTGGGGAGCAGAGACAGGCAGATCCCTGAAGTTCACTGGCCAGACAGTCTAGCCAAATGGATGAGCTCAGGTTCAGTGAGAGATGCTGTCTCAGAAAGTAAGGTGGCAGGTCTTCGAGATGGTTCAGAAGGTAAAGGCCCTTACCCAACACTGCAGGCCTGGTGACCTGAGTTCTACCCCTGGAATTCACATAAAGATAGAGGGAGAGAACTGACTCCACCTAGTTTTCCTCTGTCCTCCATACACATACTAGGGCATGCACAACCACACACATACATCATACTAAATGATAAACAAAAAAATAAGGTAGAGAACGATGGAGGATGGCAACAGTGTTAGCCCTCTGACCTGCACACATTTGTATATACCACATACCACATGAACACGGATATGTACCACACATACATACACATATGAATAAAAATAAAATAAAAATTAAAAAAATCTAAGATGGACGTGGTGGCACACGCCTTTAATCCCAGCACTTGGGAGGCAGAGGCAGGCAGATCTTTGTGAGTTTGAGGCCAGCCTGGTCTACATAGTGAGTTCCAGGACAGCTGGGGCTACAGGGAGACTCTGTCTCAAAAAAAGAGGCAAAAAAAACCCAAATCTGGCTCTATAGTTGTTTTCTAGTTTTCTTACATGTTCATATTTTTCTTAGAATTTGTATATTTTTTTTTCCCATTTTAAGAAGAACTTGAACCTGGATCTAGTGGCTCACACCTGCAATCCCAACACTCAGGAGGCAGAGGCAGGCAGATCTCTCTGTGTTTGAGGCCAGCCAGGTCTACACAGAAGCTTCAGTTCAGCTAGGGCTACATAGTAAGATGTTATAAAAAGAGAGAGAGAGAATGAGGAGGATGAGGAGGGTAAGGGAAGAACTGGCATTTTCACTCATTTATTAAAAACTTTACTTTTTCTGACAGGGTCTCACTGTATAACACCGTCTGGCCTGGAACTTGCTGTGTAGACCAGGCTGGCCTGGAACTCGCAGAGGTATCCCTGCCTCTGCCTCCCAAGTCCTGGGATTAAAGTTGTACATCACCATGTCTAGCTCATTAAAAACCTTAATAAGTATTTTGTTGGAAGTCTGAAAGTAATTACGTTATTCCTCCTGAAGACTCTCTTCTTTCTAGCCTAATCTGGACAGGTGACTGCTAGGACCATTCAGCACAGAGGATATGGTGGCATTCTGGTAATTCCTCCATCTCTTGCATCTTTCTTGCTCCCTGCTCTTCACCTTTGCTGTAAATCCACACATAGCTTCCTTAGAAACAGCACACATGGGGCTGGAGGGACGGCTCAGTGGTTAAGAGTACTTGTTGCTCTTGCAGAGGACCTGGGTTTGGTTCCCAAAACCCACATGGTGGCTAACAACGGTCCATAATTCTAGTTCCAGGGAAATCCAACGCCTCTTCTGACCTCATGGGCTTTGTACAACACAGGTGCACTCACATACATGCAGGCATTACATTCATTCACTTAAAATAAAAATAATAAAAATTTAAAAAGAAAGGGCACATGAAACATGTTCTGAGTCCTTCTGGTCTAAATGTCTTTCTTTAATCTCTCAATTCATAGTTTGACTAGGGATAGAATTCTGAGTTCAAAATAATGTTTCCTTAAGGGGATACACCATTAGCAGTTATATAACTCTAAAATAATTGGTTTCTTCCTCTTCAAATGGGTTCTGGTAATCCGGACAATGTCCTGAAAAGACAAATTAGTAAATATCTCAAAACTTTTACTAATGTTTTTCCTTTTTTATTGAAGTTTTGCAAATTTTATGTATTTTATTATTTTAGAATCTCCCCCATATCTGGACCCTCCCTTACTAATATCCCACCAAATTTCCTGTACTCTAATGTGTGTGTGTGAAGGCCTATAAGAGTTAAACTTGTGTCCCCAAATGAACCCCCAGTGTGGGTTCATTCACCAGAGCCTGATCCACCAACCAATTGCCTCATCCTAAAACAAGAGTGAATCACCATGTGGGAGCCGGGAATTGAACCCAGGTCCTCTGCAAGAGCAGCTGTTCTCAACCACTGAGCCATCTCTCCAGTCCCTCACAGAGTAACTTTTTAAAACTGTGCATGAGTGTTTTGTCTGCATGTATGTAGGTGCATCACATTGGTGCAACGCTCACAGAGGCCAGAAGACAGTGTCAGATGCTGGCCTGGAACTGGAGTTAAGGATGGTTAAGTCGCCGTGTGGGTGCTGGGAACTGAACCTAGTACTTTTCAAGAGCAGTGTTCCTAATCAGAGTCATCTCTCAACTGTTCTTTAGGGAAAAAAAAATAAACATTTATTCATTTATTATGTGTATGTGGAAGGGGGGTGCGCCTGTGTCACAGCATGCATCCAGAGGTCAGAGGACAACCTGTGGGAATCAGTCCTTTCTTTCCACCATGTGAGATTGGGGCTCGAACTCAGACCCTCAGCCTTGGTGGCAAGCGCCTATACCCGCGGAGCCATGTCCAGTAGATGGCGCTGCAGAGAAGGGCAGAGCCAAGCACTCCCTGACCGGGCAGGAGACTCTCGTCCAGCAGGGGGCGCAGCACGCCGGGGCTGAGGCGTTCTCGAACCGAACACGACGTCAGGGGGCGGGAACAGTTGTGGCCCCGCTCCCTACGTCAGCGGAGCCCTGTGATTGGAGGGAGAAACGATCTCTTGGCAGCGCCGTTGAGGTGGGAGGAAGAAGTGGGTTCCGGCCGAAGGTGAGACCGTGGCGGCCGATGTGCCGGCTAGCCGGGCTCTGCGGCAGTCTGGCCGCTGTCCCCCCACAGCTGTCCGCGGTGGATGGCGGCGGGATGGAGCGCGAGGGGAGCGGCGGCGGCGGGGCGGCCGGGCTCCTGCAGCAGGTCCTCAGCCTGAAGCTCGTGCCCCGGGTGGGCAACGGGACCCTGTGCCCCAACTCCACTTCGCTCTGCTCCTTCCCAGGTACGCCCCGCCCCGCGCCTGCGCACTGGGCGCTCGCCGCGGGGAGCCCGCCCGCAGTCGGGCGGGGCGGGTGCTGGGCGCGCGGGTTCCTCCGGCTGCACTGCGGCTGCAGAGTCCCGAACCCATCCAGCTCCTCCAGAATCACTTTCCCAGACCTGTTGCTTGTTCTCCCAGGATCTTAGACGCGGCTTCTGAGCTGCTCCCAGCTGAGCTCCGGGGGGCTGCGGGGATGGTGAGGGTGGGGAGGCTGGGAGAGGGACTTTCGGTGTCAGAGCACTAGGTAGAGCTTTCCGAGCTCGGGCCGGCGGAGGGGAGGAGGAATAACCTTTCCTGGGAACCCAGTAAAGACTTTGAAGCTATCTGTCTTGCATCTTCACCAGCAAGGCGACCGACAGTGGCGCTCCGACGGGGAGGTTGGGGCTCCCCAACAAAGTTGGAAACCTTAGTTAATCCAGTGTGAGGACTGGATCTGAGACAGTGGGAAAGGGAGGAGGGTGGGGTTGCCGGCTGCAATCATCCATAAGGCACCTGTGATTGCTCATCCACAGGCCAGCGACTGCCTGGCGCCTCGCAGTAGACACTCGGGACTTGGCTGTGTAGAGGCTAACTAGGTGATCATCTTTTGTTGTGGCAGCTGAAGATGTTGGCTTGGGATGGTGCCAAAAGTGAGAGCTCAAGATTGTTTCAAAGGGATTAGGGTCATAATCGACAGTGAAACACACACACACATTTATAAAATTATGAAGCCCTCCAAAAGATAAAGGGTTCATATTTCTGTTTTCATTATTTACGACAGGGTGTCCAGAAGCTCCGGCTGAGCCTGGTAACTCAATTTTGTAGACCAGGCCGACCTTGAACTCAGATAAGCCTGCCTCTGCCATGGAGTGCTGGGAGTAAAGGCACACGATGCCTGGCAACCACAATCTTCAACTCTTTTTTTGAGGGAGAACTTTTCAAATCTCCTGAAAAGTTGAAAAACAGTCTAGCAAATACCCATTTGTTTAGGTTGAATGGTAGCAGTTACTGTTCAACAACCAGCCCCCCTTAGGCAATCGGGAGAACATCATAGAGTGTACTTACTTGAGCCGAGATGATATGTCTAGTCCATACCTAGGCTATGTAATATGGGAACACAGTTGTATATTTGCCTCATGTTGATAGAAATTTCATTATGCCAAGCAAGACTATATTTTGGTTCTTAGGCATTCTCTAGCACATGTATGAATCTATACACATCACATTAAAAACCTTTTAATTACATTTTACTTATTTATTTGTGTGTGTGTGTGTGTGTGTGTGTGTGTGTGTGCAAAAGAAAAAATCAGAGGAAAACTTGTAGGAGTTGGTTCTCTCCTCCTACCATGTGGGTCCCAGGGATTGAACTCAGGTCGTGAGGCTTGGCAACAGGCACTTCTACTCATTGAGCCATCTCACCAGCCCCTACCTACACATCACATTTTACCTTGCTGTGGAGCAGAAGTCCTGACACCTGCTGATCCCTCCACATGTAGTTTTATCACCGCCACAACTTCATATCACTCCTAAAATATTTAACTCTGTTAGCATGATGTTTTCTAACACAGGCCTTATTTAAATTTCTCTCCAATTGGGGCTGGAGAGATGGCTCAGCGGTTAAGAGCACTGGCAGAGGACCTGGGTTCAGCTCCCAGCACCCACATGTCAGCTAACAACCATCTGTCACTCCAGTTCCAGGGGATCCAACACCCTCTTCCGGGCCTCCAAAGGCATTGTACCACATGTGTGCACTTATACCTGCATGCAAAACTCTCATAACACATAAAAAAAATTTTAAAGAAAAAATTCAATTGACAACTTCCTTTTGTTGTTATTTTGATTTTGTTTGATGATAGAGACAGTTTATTAAGAAAGAAAGAAAAGGTACCCTCACTTCCTGAGGGTAAAGTTGGGTAGGGAGCTGTTTTAATTCCAGGGTCCAATCAGGAGTCACACTGTCCATTTGGTTGCCTATCTCTTTAGTCTCATTTCACCGAGAACAGTTCTGGTTTTTAATTTGTTTTATTAATTGTATTTATTTGTTTGATTATTTATTTTGAGACTCAGGGTGTGTGTGTGTGTGTGTGTGTATGTGTATGTGTGTGTGTGTGTGTGTATGTGTGTGTGTGTGTAAAGGTGCCAGTGGATGACGGAGGCATCACCTCATCTGGAGCTGGAATTATGGGTTGTGACATGGGTGCTGGGAATCGAACTCAGGTCCTCTACAAGAGCAGTAAACCAATGAGCCCTGTTTCAGTTTCTTTGAAGAATCTAGGCCAATTGTTGCTTAGAATATCTCAATCTGGGTTCATCAATTTCCTTCATGATTCAGATTCAGATTATTATTTTCTTCTGCAAATGCTAATCTGCCATATGTACTTGAGTATCATTCCTTCTACAGATACAACTTATGAGTATTAGTTACCAGGAACCATTTAGCCAGCATATCTCCATGTGACCACATGTTGGCCCTAGGCTGGCACACGATGGGGTTATAGCCCTTGACCTCATTGATCAGAATGTGGTGGTGCAGAGCCCTTGACCTCAGATTAATCAGAGTGAGGCTGTAAACACACCCACTCCTTGCAGTGTCTAATCATTGCATAGAATTTTGGGTATAATAGATACTTGAAGTTGGATCCTGTTTGCAGCACTCAGGTGCTTATAACATGAACTTTATTCAGGGTCCTGAATCTGGCACTGTCGCTGTTTTAGGCACACAGAAAAGGTTGCTTCTAGTTTATGCCAACTCACAGCAGAATCATTGCTCTAAAATATTCTGTGGTTTCTCTCCACTAAAAAGCTTTGAATTGATTTTTTTTAACCCACCTTTGCAATTTAGCCATTTAGATTTCTTCAAACCCTCATTCTAAGCTGTTCAAATTTCCTTTGTTGTTTCTTTGTATTTCTTTGTTTGAGACAGTCTCTGTGTAGCTGAGGTTGCCGGAGAACCTGAGCCTTCCAAGTACTGAGATTACAGGCCTGTGCCACCATGCCTGGCTTTGTGTTGTCGTTTGTAACAATCAGGAATGACTTTTATTCTCCGCAGATAGAGATTTCACTAGATGAATGTCAAAATGTAGCAAAACCCAATAATATTTTGGTTGTGGTGGTGGTGGAGTCCAGAGTGGATCACACGCGGAGCGGCAGTTTACTCATTGCTGTGTGGCTGTTGTTTTTAAAGTTTTTTTTACTTATGTGTCTGTGTCTTTGTATATCTGTATGTTTCAATGCCCATGGAGACCAGAAGAAGGTGTTGGATCCCCTGAAACTAGAGTTAAGGATAGGAGTGAGCTGCCATGTGGGTGCTGGGAACTGAACCCAGGCCTTCTGTACAAGCAGCCAGTGCTCTTAGCCACTGAGTCCTCTCCAGCCTACCTGTTGTTTCTTGGTTTTTGTTTTAGGTTGTGGGAGGCACCTGTTTAAAAGGCCTTGATGAACAGAACAACCCCTTCTATATGGACCTCTCACTCCAGTGGGGAGACGGAAAAGTATGGGCTGTGGGGGACAGAAAAGTATGGGCTGGAACTCTTGATGGTGTGAGATACGATAAGGGACATGGTAAGTGGCAGGGCATGTGCAGGATGGAGACCAGTGTTTTGGGGGCCACACACCTGTGAACACAGCACTTGGGTGGCTGAGGCAAAATAGTTGTGCATTTGAGGCCAACCACCCAACATCCTGAATGCAAGGCCTGCTCTGGCTTTTGTAGCAAGACTGTCTCTCAGAGAAACAAAGTGGTCAGAAGGCCCTTAATGGTGATGCCATTATAGCTGAATTCTGAAGGAAGTGAGCAGCCCTGCAGCTGTCAGGGAAGAATGTTCTAGGCAGGAAATTGTAGATTGGGAGGCCCTGAAAGAGGAGCTCTTAGCTTAAGAAAATTCCTCCAGGTGTGGTGGCACATGCCTTTAATACCAGCAGAGGCAGGCAGATCTCTGTGAGTTCAAGGTCAACCTGGTCTACATAGTGAGTTCCAAGACAGCTGGGGCTACAGGGAGACCCTGTCTCAAAAAGACCCCAAGAAAGAAAGAAAATTCCATAGGCTGGGGATGTGGCTCAGTGGTGTGGTCTGCAGCAGTGAGAGGCTGTGGGTTTAACCCAGGCACTTGGAAAGAGAGAGAGGAGGGAGAGAGGGAGGGAGGAAAGAAGGGAGGAGGAGGGGTAGTGTGCTTGGTGGATTATATGGGCAAGGGGGTGTTAAGGAGGTGAGGTTGGCTCCTAGAGGGCACAAGTGGAGAGTTTTGAGCCAAGGAGGGATCATCTTTAAATTTATTTTAAAGATGACACTTTTTAAAATTACACTTTATTTTAATTTTTCAATTTTTAATTTTTTTATTATTTGATTTTTTAATTTATTTTTTAATTTTATGTGTATGCGTGCATTGCCTGCATGTAGGTAAGTGCACCCGTGTTGTCTCCTGCAGGAACAGTCAGTGTTCTTAACCACTGAGCCATCTCTCCAGCCCTGTTGCTTTCTTCTTTTTTTTTTAAAGCATGGTAACTTTATATTTTTTAATGCATTAATACAACAGTGCATTGGAAAAGTACTGAGCCTCTACAAAATAGCTTTACATTTTTAAAAGAATGTGATTTTTTTCACTTACACAAGCATAGGCTTTTTAATATTTCCACAAGATAAATATCTCAATTAAACTATAAGCTCACTCTATTGTGTGCCACAGTGATGGGCTTAAGACAGTTATACACTTAGAAGGTCCTAACTTTAGTGTTATTTACACTGACATGTCCGGTATCGCCGGTTCATAGCCTCCATGTGTGTGCTGGAAATCAAACCCGGGTCCTCTGCAAGATCAGTCAGTGCTCTTAACTGCTGAGCCATCTCTCCAGCCCTGTTAAAATTATACTTTATTTGTGTATGTGTGCACCTGTGTGCATGCAAATGTGTGTCAAAGCTTTTAGGAGTAGGTTCTTTGTCCCAGGGATCAAACTCAGGTTGTCAGGCTTGGTGGCAAGGACCTTTACTA